AAATCACCATTCATAGCTATCAGCCCTGTTTTACATAATTTGAATAAAAGCATTGCGTTGAGTTTCTGCTGTACATGATAATTTATTTTGAATAGTGTGACAGTGAGTGAACAGCCTACTGCTATAAAAACATTTCAACATCTGTGCTGGAACACTAACACAGGAGGGTTGACTGCCTAATGAATTTCAGAGTTTTACTCCCTCATTGTGGAAGAGCCCCTTTATTAGCATTCAGATTACATGTGTGCAGTAAAAACACCGGGCCTGTTTAATCTTGCTCAACTGATAGGCCTAAATAACTCTGCTTCTCACTTAAAACACCCCAGAACCCTTTTCATAAAGGATTACTATGCCAATACTTCACAGCATGTCAACAATTCAACATTAGGTTGCTGTTTTATAAATATATATACCAGAGCTCACTCACTGCCAAATATGTTTATTTTTAAAAATAAAGGAAATGAGATAGCTTCTCCTGAACTTTCTAAAACCGAAATACACAGTGGGCTTTTGCTTTTTTACTTCATATACAATATAAGTATTTGTTTTTACAGAGAAAAAAGGAATACAACACTGGCCTTTTATAAAAAATATTTTTTTATTAGAAGGAATAAAACCTGAGGTGAATACTCGTGAAAAGGATGATTTAATTTCAATACTACTTACATATGAGATATTAATTAGATCGCAAATAAAGCAACATGACAACCTATGCATCATCATTCCAAAACATGAATATACAGTATAGATGCACATTCATTCATTCTCAAAATGTATCATGAAATGGATCAGGAAGACAGGTTAGTGAGGTGGTCGTATAATGATAAAGAAGTTTCTGCACTATATTAATCTTTTTTTCTTTGGCTTTGCCAAGTGCAAAAGACAACAGACTGGCCTAAACTGAGAGCTGGCCAGGGCAAGAGGATCGTGACGTGCTGCAGCAGAAAGCTTCTGGTGTGCTCGGCCAGCTGGTCCAAGACACAGGGAGACAGGAGACTCCTTTGCTAAAAGGCCACAAATGTTTGGTCTGAAGCTCTTCCTTGGCCTAGTGCTGCAGCCCTGCCTGCTATGAACAACAGACAGAAGACATGAGCACAGATCCATGGTGCAGACACTTTATGCATACTGTATATAAGAAAAGATATAACAATAAAACTGCTGTTAAACTTTTATGAAACAGAAACACATTATCTAATGTTAATTTATAATAGGAAACGTCATAAAGGAAATTAATTTAACAGGAGTTTACATGACAGGAAAGAAGAATAAAATGACTTTCGAAAAACAAGTAAATAACAAACCAGATGACATTATATTTTTTAATCTGTCAAGAATATAACAGAAGGTAATCTTTAAAAGTCTTTACAATTCAGTAGACTGCATAATTATACCACACTACAATATACCAGCAAGTCCTGCTTCTGCATTATTTATGTTTTCTCTGTTACCATTTTATATTTCAGCACTGTTAGAAGGTTTAGGAAAAGCACGTAAGGAAATTATCAAGAAACGGATGTCTATCCTTTTTCAACACCACAGAAAAATGCAGTATTCTGTTAGGCAACATGAAACATACAGGATAGAACACAAGAATATTAGAAAGATTAAAAATGAGAGGAGGAATTTAGCACATCTTGTTTGCTTGGACGTTAAAAGCTTATCGATCACAGGATCACCTTCAGCTGTTAATTGAAGGTTCCAAGGGAAACAGGATTTAGCAAAGTGCTGGGTATTCTGTTCCAGACCACCACTCATCCCCCCATCTTGTGTCTGTTTTCAATCCCAGATTCAAGGAAGTTCAAATCAAGGAAACTTTTGATTCCGAGATCATTTGTCTCATTTCTGAGTCCCCAGTCTTTCAGGATTTTGAAAAGCCTGCTTTCCATCAACGAAGCATGATTCCTTTTAGACCAGGAGCTGTGCTATTTTCTCTGTTTTGATCTCTTACTGGGACACTGATGCCCTTTACTATACTGCAGCCCAGATCATACACAAATGAAGTCTTGCTAGTGAATTCCCTAATTTCAATATTAAAGCCCATAATTGACATTCTACATATTTTATGCAAAACTATAATTTCAAAAGACCTTGAAATCATTTTGTTTTTTTCTTTTATTTTTAAAGGATATCTTCCTATTTAAATTACTGTATATATTTAAATTAAGATTAATTGAATCGCAGCTCCAATCCAAAAGACTACAATCCAAATGGCACTTCATGTCAACAATTGTTTGTCTTTAGACACAATATTCTTAAGATCTCTCCAAGAGTCTGTTTTGGTGTTGTTTAAGAATACAAATGAAGATGAAGAAATTCAGACTCGTTAGAAAGTATGAGCCCTTTTTCCTATATATAGTAAATTCTGTAGCATACAGTTATAGGATATGTTATTATTTAGGATACAGGAAACATCAAATATTGAAAGTGTTCTTCCCATGCACAAGATGCACACTCTTACTGTATGTGTGTTTTTCCCTCAGTGTACACCAGTATATTACCTTTCCTGTTAGGCACAGTAACTGACATAGACTGAGATTCTGCATTGGGTACGACCCTAAGTGTGTGAATTACCTGCAGGCAGGCAGTAGATTGAAATTCATCTGATCTGATGTGAAAGCTGAGTGGCTTCGTATGCACAGCAGCCATCAGCAGAGCCACTACTGAGATTGTGGCATTCCAGGCATCTCTCTCTAGGGCTTCCGAAGTTATTATTCCGTAGCTCGGCCCACCCTTAATTAAGACTAACACCTCACTGAGGAAAGGACAACCCGAGGCCTCAGTAACACTCAATAAGGTTGAGGCCTGTGGTGAGTAATTTATGTGTTAGGGTTGGACAATGAGGGTTAGACATATTGTGACATTTAGTAGGAACAGAGAGGACTGATTGCTAAGTCTAATAAAGACTGAATGCATACTTCTTTTATAAGAGGACAGGGATCTTTATTGGAGTTTGTTAAAAAGTATGAGGGGGCTAGATTGAGAAGATGGTTAATGGGGAAGAGTGAAGCTGTAACATCTCAGCAACATAGGAGCCCAAAAAAGTCCAGGAGAAACTGAGCTGTGAAGAGTGTGTTAAAAACAAGAAGAATGGCACGGTAGCTGCTCAAAATGCACGTGTTCAGGAGGAAGAAAGGACAGAGCAGGGATTTCTTGAACATATTTTAAGGAAGAAATGGAGGCTGGATGGGTTCACTTTGATGGATAAGGTCTGCGCAAGAAGGATGTGCGTTAGAAGATCAGTGAGATGAGGTCAGTAGATGGATGAGGAAAAGGAGATGTGGAAGGTCTGATGGAAGCGAAGATGTCTGAGGGGAGGGTTTGTGCTGTGATGCTTAGTGTTGTGAGCGAGGCTGACGGAGGTGGACGACGGATGAGTCAATAAACATAACTTCTGAATAGGAATCAATGTAGGTGTCTCGTCTGCTCCCAGAGCTTCGGGAATTGGGAACTAGAAAAAAAACAAGCAATTTGGTTTGAGTAATTGGGATGGAACTGATTGCAGGTGGAAACCCCAGCGAGGCATCTCAGTGTGTTCCTGATGTGGACATGATGAGATTTGGAGGGAGCTGTACAGTATTTCTGTGTCTGAGGACCGATTATTGGTTTCACGCGGAACCCCAGACAAGGGCAAAGATGACACCAGGGTACAGTTCTCAAGGCAGTGGTTTGGAATCCTCAGCTGCAAACTAGTTTCCTCTGGAGTAAACTCTGAAACCTACAGACGAACAGCTGCATCAGTATCACAAAAGTCTCAGAATTTTCTTTAATTTCATTTGTTTGAGTAAAATCATATGAACACAACTGTGGGAGAATACAATCTGTGCAATGGACCTTTGCCTCAATTTATCACAGATGTGATCTTTCCTGATATAACAACTCTCCTCACTCTTGGTTGTAACTACACTTTCTCTCATCAAGTTGAAATGCCTGAAATAAGAAAACTATTTTAGGAAGCATTTCAAATAATCAAAGAAAAAAATCTGACTGTATCCAGGATATTCAGCAATTAAATATTTAGCTGGGTATAGCACGGTGCTCATGAATACAAACCCTCGGTTTGTGCAGTCAGTATGATATTTCAGCTTACAATAAGAAGCCATTAAATTTGCATGACTTCACATAATAAAAGGAAAACATTTTGAAACAGTAAAATGCAGCTGTAATCCTAGTGTTGTGTATTAAATGAAAAAGCCAAGTTAGAAATTTTATAATTGCATAGATTTAATAATTGTTTTCAAAACACAGGTGGAAGCCCAATTAAATCAGTATTAGAACAAATACCTATTTCCCTATATTTTCTTTCTTATATTTACTTCAGTTAGAGAGCAGAAATAATATTTCATTTATAAGGATTATAAACGTAAATTGTTAATTTTATGTTGCATTACTGTTTATAATGCAATAAAAAGATAATAAGGATAAAAGGATAATAAGGATAAAAGGATAATAAGGATAAAAACCAAATAGTTTTTATTACACAAAAAACATTGGTTTGATTATTAAGTGACTCGGCCTGTGTTTGCAGGGTGGCACAGTGGTTAGCTTTGCTGTCTTACAGTGCTGGGATCCTGGGTGCTGCCTGGGTGGGGTTTGCATGTTCTCCCTGTGTTTTGGTGGGTCTCCTCTGTTGCTCTGGTTATCTCCCACAGTCCAAATCCATACTGGTGGGTTTATTGGCTCCTGAGAAGAACTGGCTCTGCTGTGAGTGTGTGTGTCTGTGTGTGCCCTGTCACATCCAGACAATATCCTGCCTAGTGCCTGTTGTTTGCCAGGATAGGCTCTGGCCCCCTGTGGCATGATATTGGATAATATATTATTGGAAATATATGATAAAGTAATGGGTAATTAGTCTATTAGAAATAGAAAATATATGGATGAATTGATTCATACTGTAATACATCCTGTTTCTCCAAACTAATTATCCTATAATTATACTAATTATATGAAGATATCTTGATTAGCATTTATAAAAAAATAAAATGGCTAGTGCAGCTATTTAATTGCTTTGACCACGATTAGATTAGCATTGGTTTTTGGGAATAGTTTACTATAAATGAATAAATAAGACTCAGTGGTTGAAATGTAAATGACAAAGGAAAATCTATGAGTACAATTGTTTTAGAGATACCAAAAACCTAGATCCCATGACCTAACATTTAAACATTAATTGTTAGAGGGGAAGTCATATGATACATTTTAAATTAAATTTGACTGGTTGATTTTTTTTATGTGCACTTTTCCTTGTGCCGTTTCTAAATGACACAGTCCCACAGAGCGTTAATGTTCCAGAAGGTAAATCCATATTGGTTCTGAGACCTGGAATGTCAGTAAAATGCAGACAATGGGAAAAGGGATAATTGGTTGTCTGTGTACTGAATTTCAGTAATGGGTCTTCACTTTGAAACAGATACAAACAGGTCTACTATGGACATACAGTAACTTAAAAAATGTTTTTCTTAGTGTAATATCTGAAGTGCAGATGCAACAGGAGGTGCTCTTTCAGTCCTGAGAAACCCGCTTCCTTACGGAGAATACAGAAAAGTCATTTTTACATTGTGAATGGTGATGTCAGTGACAAGATGCTGTTGCCGTTTAATACACTGTACTAATTAGTGTCATACTGCTGGTATGACAAGATGTCATTTTTTGCGGGGTTCTTTGGGTAATATCTTATTTCCAGTTGAATACTGGTAAACACAAAGCACATTTGGGAGAACTGTAAACTTTTCTTGCCTTTTTCTTTCTTTGTTTTGCAAGTGACATCACTCCAGGTGTATTTGTTCAGTGTAGATCCAGATATCTCGCCATAAGGATGGTTTCCTCACACGCCTCATTAGGAGGTTGGCCTCAGATGAGTGACGTGGCAGTTTCTTTGTTTAGCAGAGAAAGCTGCCTAGGCTGTTAATAAAAGTCACCCGGGTTCCTAAGCAAGCAAACTGGCACTCAGATTTGACTGTAAACTGACAGGTTTGGGATTTTTGCAGGTTTTGCAACAAAAAAATCAAATATCCCAGTCTTTTCTGACAGAGACTCACACAAGATTATATAAACCACAGCCATTTTAATCTTCTCCCATGTTTCTTGTACCTTGTTTTGTTACTTCAGCATCTAGTGCCAAAGACTGGATTCTCCCTGTAGTTTCAACAGTTTCCACTGTAAGCAAGGAGGGCAGAGGACAAATGGGTATTTTCAAACCCCTCTTCTCACCACCTGCTTCACTCCATCTTGAGTGTCTAATCAACAGCTGCTGCGTAGATATTTAACCTGGAAGGTAGTGCTTTAATGCAGATGAATTTTGCTTTGCCTCATGGGGCAGACCTTTTCTTAAAAGGAAACCCTCGTGATTTAATACAAAAATCTGCACATGGTGTTCCAGGGGTACTGACTACTAAAAAGATTAACACAGCAGATTCCTAAACAGACCTTAATTCCAGACCTCATAAGCCACAATCACAGAGGGGTTTAATAATATGCTCCTGAATAATTTACTGCTTCAGACAAAAGAGATTAAATTTACTCTATGTATGGTCTTATACTGTATATACTAAGATCAATCAGATAACATCTCTCTCTTATTCTCCTGAATGCCCTGAGAATCTCTGAATGTTCTCTTTCTTTAATAAACCTAACAATGTGATTCAGAGTATTTCTGCTACAACAGGTAAACTTTGTAAGGCCGCGGGCGTGAAGTGCCTTATTATGGCAGCTTTTTTAATGATGCTGCTCCCATCACAAAGACGAAAAGAAGCAACAGTCATAAGAAATAGTTTAATGATTTATCATGGCATTAATGTTTCTCCCCTCTGGGCTTTACCTTATAGATAATTGACCTCTGCTGTTCGACGTGGGACGCTGGACTGTCAGCACAGTCAATTACCCTGAATCTAATTCCCATTGCAGTGGAAGTTCAGATGATTTAGATGTTATCAGCGCACAGAATGAGAAATTGTCAGGAAATGCTGTGGTGTGTGATTCTGCCAGTGGCTTCTTTGAACTACTAACAGAACCTCTGGGCTTTTTTCAGTCATTCATATCTTGGGAAATTATTAATAAATTAGTGATGCTCTCCTTCCCTGGTTGCTAGTGGTTATAGAACATGTAATCATGCTGTTTTCGCTGGAACCCAAGCACAATTGTATTCACAGTGTGGCTTGGTTTGTTGCACACATCCAGAACCCTTTCAATATTACTGAGAAGCCTATATTACCCTCATATTTCAGTGAACCCAACAAATAAAGTATGGAAATATTTGATGAGCATGGTATTCTTTGTAGGTTTGTTGTTGTGTTGGACTCTGCTCTAAACAAATTCCCCCCGGGAATAATACAACTTGAATTGGATTGAATTTAACTGAATTTAATTGATAACATTACTGAATTAATTATTGTGGTTTCTTGCAATTTAAACACACATTTATAACAAGTTATTATCTTTATTTGATCCAGAATTGTACAGCTTTATATATAGCGGGAGATTTGCACAAACATATACCGTGAGCTTTGGGATTTTAGGTCTCAGGGCCAGTAAAGCTAGTGACATGCTTGTTATGGAAATGGATCTGTAACTGCTTCTAGCAATGTCTGCCCAAGCTGGAACAGCACTCTTCTTTGTTTTTTAATAGAACTTGTACAAAACCTCAACATCGGATACAATTTGTGTTGAAAAGCCATGACCACAAAGCTGGGCTGTGTGTGAGCTGGTTATTTCCGAGAGTCCATTCAAACCAGAATCACACAGTTGTCCAGTCCTGAAGGACAACAGTCAAGCAGTTTTCCTGGGTCACTTTAACATACCTTAATCTGAAGATGCAGGAGGTTGGTTAACAGTTCAAATTATCTAGATATTCGGTTCAATTATATGATTCTAAACTCTGGTGGAATAGAGAGCAGTAGTCTTCTGGACTACACTGCTTTAAGTGGTTGAATTTTTTCTCATAGTCATCATCCCTGATGTAGAGTTAATTGTTTGCTTATTATGAACTGACTGATAATGTGCTTAAGCAGAATTCACAATAGGAAGAAGGCCAAACACGTCTGTATTGACTCGATATGGTAAGACAAGCAGAATATCAAGACTCTTATCCTACAGCACAACTCCATATAACCTTCAGCAGTGTAACAGAATGAATGTTTGTTCCATATTTCTCCACCTACTCTAAGATTACATTCTTTTCATATGGTATTAAGCCTAATATTATTAGAAAATTATGACAAAAAATGGAATGTAGGTTATCAGACAGTCCTTCAGTGGCAGACATGTTTATGTCTCTTGTTTTGTATTCCTAGCAGGCACTCTTAGAAAATGTAGACTTTTAGACATATGAATGAAAACAGACATTTGACTGTTGCAGCTTAATGCCAAGAGAAGAAAACTTACAGTGGAAAAATGTTTGCACCTATTGCTAGGTTTTGGTTAGTCATTATAATCGAAAAATCACTTGAGGTTTTGGTCCTGTCTGACAGGGATTGAAGAACTTCTAATTCTGATAATCACCCTCAGCACCTTTCCTCTGTGTTTAAACTGGACACATTCATTGCCACAAGCCTCTTCTTCCTCCCTCTTAGTGAAGGTGACAGTGCGTACCTGTCACACACAATACATGAAATGATTCTCACGCTTTATTTATCGATTAAGAGCACTGTACATAAAACAGACGGCCAAGCAGCTCAGAATAAATCAGATGGCTAAAAAGCCCAGTTGTACAGTATGTGTTACAGACCAGCGTGTTCGTGTTTCACAATCTATGGATACTACTGTATAAGTGTGGCAGTGCTTCTGCAGTCCTCAGCAATAGCTCAGTTTTTCTGTATCGCCCTGGGCTCTGTTTCCCGAAGCTGTTGAGTGACACAGCCTATTGATCTTTCCCAACCCGATTGTCTTTTACAGGCTTTCTGGAGGTCAAGTCACAGTAAAGGTCTACATACATACAGTACTCACTGGTGTGAGGCGCTACCTCACCGTACCTGCTGTAGCACTGGTGAGAAGCAGCAGTGTCCTTCTCCTCAGCAGCCGTTTCTGCTTCTCCAGCTATTGAAATGTTCCGTACCTGCTGAGTAAATGGATGCACAATTGAAATCAGAATTAGATGCAAAACAAGCTGAAATTTAAAAAGAAAAGAAAGTCCCTGTGAGGTGACATGACATTCATTTTATGCCGTTGGTTCTTTATTACTTCAGCTTGGCCCTCGGTTTGTATAGAACCTAGAGATGGTGGAGGGGTGGGGGGAGTTTTTCCATCTGTTAATTGACATTTTGAATCAATAAACTGTTGTGTTCAGCAGGCTTAAGTGGCATTCAGGTCCATGGAAAACAAAAAAAAACTTGTGTCTGCCCACCAGCTTATGTAGTAATTGCATTCTTTGTGTATTGCTAGACCATTGCACTTTTTATATTCCTCTTCCATGTGTAGGGTGTTTTGTTACTGTTGTTGCCTTCTGCTTGTAAAGCTAATTTAGAGGTGATCCAAAAAAATGCATCATGTTTCAGTACAATATGTAAATATATGAATTAAGGATAAAGACCGCAGACATGTTACTGTAGAGCAATGCTGTACTTCCACCTGATTGCATGTTCCCTATTTCTGTTAGATACCCAATGGCAGTGAGCAGCATTCTCAGATCGTATCCTGCGCTGCTCCAGGAACCAATGCTGAAATAAACCAGCAAGCCAGTGCTGGAGGAGCTGTGGAATACTGAGACACTTGCTAAGTAAAGTTCTGTTTTAACAAAGAAGTTGACATACTGGTCTTTAGTAAATCAATTTTGTTTCTGGGGCAAATCTGCCCCCAAGGCAGTGCTACTTTTTTCTTCAGCTTGTCACTTAGTGCCCCAAGGATGACTAGAGATGAAGACGATATGGTCTCAGTGGAGGTTCTGTTAGTATTGGGGAGGGAATCCACCCCCCCCCACCAAAGAACGTACAAGCAGCAGAAACATCTTCAACAGTGTGGCCTCAGGGGGCTGTCAGGGAGTATCTCTGCATCCTGCCAGTCTGGGAATGGAGCGCCTGTCCAAGCTGGAGGCAGACTTGCCCCAGAGGGGTACTTGGTTTACAAAACCAGCATGTCTATAAGAAGTGGCATGAAAGGCAAGCCAAAAAAAACAGGAACTGAAAGCAAATCTGCAAGATTTACCACAATAATCATTATATATTGATACACAACAAAAAAAGTAAATAAAGTGTAATATTTGGTAAACTTTGAAATAGTAAGTTGATAGGTTTGTGGATAACTTGTTCCACTTACATTGTTCTTAACATTAACAAAGAACAGACATTTGGTACCGTGCTGAGCTTATTACGGTATAGGAAGTGATATCTCCTTCTTGGAATACAGACTTTTCCCATGGCAGGAGACCTTTAGCATACGGGAATCCTCTACTGTCAGGGAGTCTCTGACTGGGCTCAGAAGGCAGTGAGTCTGTTACAGTTACCGCTTTGGAGCCCAGATACCTCTGGATTGAAAATTGTATCACTATGGGACCAACACGCTAATGCTGTCATCACAGACAACTGCAATGGGCTGGACTCTTCGAGCTGCACCAGAGGATTGGTGGAACATCTCTCTTCATCTCCTGATGTCTATCCAGAGGCCTGTCGGAGTTGGGAGTCAATGCTGCCAGGATTGCATTAATACTCTGGGAGACCAGTACCTGCTGCTTTGTAATATTATTTTGCCAGTGTGTCGCAACTCATATTGAAAACAAATGATACTTACAAAAATACAGAATTATGGAAGCAATTTCTGGGTGTGATTTTTTTATGTTTAAGATATTTGATTAAATCCATTAGTGTTGCATTTCTTTTCTTAATTAGTATATAAGGCACCTGTAATTTGCATTACTAATTACAATATCTAAAACAAATGCAAAAGTAATTGAATTGGAGATGTTTAGATGCAGTCTACTTCTCAAATTTCTTTATTTCTGCACTTTTGCACATGCCTGTTATTGCCTTCATTAACATTAGAATCCAGATAAGAGGCTATATTAATCAAATATGTTATCATGAATCATTAAGAAGGCATCATTTGTCTTATGACTGAAAATGACTTGACATTAAAAACAAATGACAACTATTTGTCACTATCATGACCTCCATGATATATCTAAATGCAATTTCATATAAATGAGCCACAATCCGTCTTGTAATGGGGCATTTATTAGTCCACACAACATCAACTTTAATTGCTTCTGCCTGGAAGTAGCAGGTTGAATGTATATAAAACTACAGTCAGCTATCTGGTTTAATAGCAGCCCTCTTAATGTACTGCTATTGCAAAGAGTAACTGTTCCTTTGTGCTCCTGTGACTTAAGGTCTTCAGTGCTTTAATGGGACCAATAAACTGATCACAAGGGAAGCTTCACCTAAATAAAGGAAAACAAACACCAGGCTCTTATTACTGACATGACAAAGGGATTATATTTGGCTCATTTTGCTTATAAGCAGCTGTAATTGGTAGTAAAAAATATGCTTTTACAGCAGTGAAGCATTTGTGTTACATTACTAATGTAAATTATTTTGGGCAAATACAGTAAGCATATTTAATGGATTCAGGCAAAACTCTCTTCATTAATTCAGGCTTTTGATCTACTTGCTACTAATGATGTATTACAAGCTAGTACTTCACTGACACAAAGGCCATTAATCATTAATATTCCTTGGTCCCCAAAGTAACTGGACACAATTAGACTAGATGTCACTTGACTTTAAGGAGATTGTTTTTGCAGTGGCGAGGGGGGTCAGGAGAGGATTCAGTGTCGCACTCATCCGTTACCTTTAATGTCAGTGAGAGGAGTCCCCAGGAAGCGCACGCTCTTTGTTACCCAAATGACTGTTTATTTTTCCTTTGTACCCTTGTAAATTAGCATGGGACTCCTTAGCAGAGACAAATGAGATGCTAAGTATATGGGTTTCAAAGTTAGTTCTTGACAACTCCCTGCTAGGAGCACAACTGAGAAATGACAAAGTTACCACCTGTGCGGAGCTGATTAAAAGAGACTGGCTGTTTTAATTAGCGAGCCCAGAGCCTTTCATCCTTATGCCAAGCCTGTCCAGCAAAGTAATTCACTTGAATTGCTTTCTGAGTAGTGTGTTAATAAGATCACATCTGAAATAAAGCGCACACACAAATATACTTCATGTTTCAAGTATAAAGGTAAAGTGTGTTGTCTTCATTGAAGTGGCACTAATTTGCATTTCTAACTGCATTTCATTTTCTGAGCTTGTGTTTGGTTTCTCAATGTGACAGTTTTCCACATACGTTATGTATTTCGACCCTGGCACAACGTCGTGTATGCAAATGATTCTTAAAAGACCTTTAGACCTGGTTAGGACATCCTTTGTCTCTCTTACAACTGACGATATAAAGCAAAGAACGGAAAAGAAAATGTAAAAAAATGTCTAATATTGTAAATTAACATTTTACCACAAAGAATGTCAAATTCTCATTTTTTCCCAAACATATTTAGCTAATTTTGCTTATACCTGTATTTCGCGTGCTGTAACAACAGAAGTCATCATGCTCAAATACTGATTGTCTACCCATGCTGTCCAGTATCTTCACAAATTATTGCTTGAGCACATATGTTTATACATACAGTACAATGAGTAGCAGAGCAAAGTGCAATACTGTGGCACGAGTGCCGTGGCGGTGCAGTGGGCTGCATTGGTGCCTCACAGCTCTGGTGCCCTGGGTTCAATTTCTGGTGTCCTGTCTGAGCGCAGTTTGCTTGCTCTCCCTGTGTCTGTGTGAGCTTACAAAGACATGCTGGGAGGTTAATGGGCTTCTGGGAGAACTGGCCCTGGTGTGAGATTGTGTCTGTGTGTGCCCTGCAATGGACCGGCGTCCTGTCCAAGATCTACTCCACTTTATGCTTTGCTCAATCCTGCCCCCCACAGCCCTGTGCCGGATAAGCAGATAAAAAATGGATGAATGGATTAATTTTGTAGAAACGTGTCTGACTGATTGCACAGCCTTTCATTCAATTTTTTCTAACAATTCGACCTTAACTCATGAGACAGCATCCCACCCCAGGAACACCAGGGATGAAGACAGAGTTGTTTCAGAGTCATGTTAGTGTGGCTTGGGTGCACACAGTACCTAGAGAACTACATTTAGAAAAAAAAACAGATCAGCATTCTTTTATTATTGCTGTTAAAAGAGTTTTAACAGTAGAGTTCAGAAACTTGCATTTATTGAAGATGAAGACATGTCAGTGTTGGTTTTTGCTCTGGATTTTCCTCCTAAAGATCAGGGTAGCAGATATAGGCACTGCAAAATATTTCATCTCTCATTTCCAGTTCACTGTGGGCTGAGCTCTTGGGTAGAAAAGCCCCTTGTAGATTGTTTATCAATATATGAGGGATAATTTACAGCACTCTTATCTTGCAGGAAGTTAATGTGGTATTAATTCCCTGATTCATTTTTATTCTGATGATTAATATCTTAATGCCACCCAGCATATTAAAAGATAATTTTACAGCTGACGTTTTGTCATATAATAATCACCAAATCCCTGCTCTGCATATCTGTGATAAGAGCCCTACCTTACCCCATAAAAAGTGATAGATTTAAACACTGTAGTATCCAATGTTCACATCTAACCTACTGTAGCACAGACATAATAGGACACCTCTTTAATAATAAAATAGTGTAACATCAGGGCTGACTGCCAATAAACTCACTGGCACTCAGTAGAATGGAAAGCGCTACTGTGCCAAGCCAGCTGTCCTTCAATGCCACAACATCCCAATACAGGAGAGTAGCCCGACAGAACAGAATTAATTATGGCTGAATGTCAGACTTGATAATTACCTTACTTTCTAAAAGATAGACATTCACTTTAGTGTATCTGTTGATTTTTCTAGGTTTAGTAACTACAATGCCATTCATTAGCAAAGACAAGCATTCACCTTTCTTATACTGACACAGCTTTTTTAATGTGTTTTTACAAACAAAATGTGTTGCTTTCTGCTATATTGCAGGGGACAGCCTAACAACAGAAGAAGACATTATTGTATACAGATATGCCAGTCCTTGGAGTTCCAATAAAGTGAATGTTTTTGACACTTCTGTATTTCAGAGATGGTTAAGTTTAGATAATGCTTATTTGATTAACACGTTTGGATTGAAGGCTTTAGCCAGATAGCAGTACACTACATCCCTGTGCTTAATAATTAAGCAAGGAGCTTTAACTTTGTTTACTGTATTGATAGCTGCAGATAGATACGTCTGGCAGGAACAACATTTTCCTGAGCTTTTGAGACTTCTCTCAGGTTGCATCACTTCGTGTAATACAACAAACAAAGCCTGTCAGGGTTTTTGTTAAGTGATATAAATTAATCTATAAATTACTTTACAAAACAATGAATATGCAGAGATATAATAAGAAATTCCCATATACGTTTCCTGCAAGGAAAGACAGTAGCATATTGTACATAATTAAATTGTCTTTTGAACAGGCTCTTGGTTGGTGCAACCACGAATATGGATGGATGGACTTTAGGCTAAAATCATTGTTTTATGATGGTCTTGACTGCATTGCTAAAAGGCAAACTCAGAAAAGTGTCAAGACTAAAAAATTAAGTCATCTTCAGGGTCTTTAAAACTTTGAAAATATTTTTTTGCCTGCAAACAGTACGTCTTCATTGTTTAACCTGACAGCTGTGTTCCATACCAGACCAAGGAAGCCCTGCATTTTTCATCAGATAACTTCAAATTTCTCTCTCACTTCTGTTTTTATCTGCACATTTCCTAACTGATGCTTTCACTTGTATATCCAATAATGAAGTGTGTGGTTGTGAATTCATCTTATCAAAAAATGAATTCCTCCTATCAGCCTTTGCTCAGCCCTTCCACCTCTTCCCTCTACAGCTCAATTTTAATTATTGTTGGTCATTCTGCCTTAATAATTCTGCCTCTGGTTCTTTGTAAAGATGTGATACTGAGCTGCATCTAAAGCACAAGGCACTACAGAACTGAAATACACAGGAAGATACATTCAGAAAGACAAGGTAAATGCAGAGAAGATATTCAAATACAGAGTGCAGCAATTGCACTGTTTAAAATGAAGACCAGGTTTTCATCTACACAACGGAGACTAGTATTTGATTATTCTCTTTGTATCCCTAGACATGATAAACATTTTGTTCATTGCTAGCTTCAATTTTAAGCACAATGAAAAGAGAGAGCACTATTGTATGGATTGAGCTCCAAATTTCTTATTATAGCAACCAAGAATAACAGCAATTTTTCAGTGAAATCCCTAGCGACCACCTTGAGTTTGAAATGATAAAGCTACGAAGTGGTTAAATTGCCTAACTTTTCTCACACAGCATGCTGTGCTTTGACTAGTGCTTTAGTGCTTTTGACTAGTGCTTTGACTAGTGCTTTAGTAATTATTCCACTAATACTTCGGTACATTCTGTCCAGCAAAGGGGCATTTACACTTGTACACCTCTCCTTAGAAGTGTGAAGTGGTTAAATTGCCTAACTTTTCTCACACAGCATGCAGTGCTTTGACTAGTGCTTTAGTGCAGTATTTATTAGTTCTGCATGTGGTCCCAACTGGTTTGGTGCATGCTACCAATATATGGAGAGATACACAGAGCTGTACCAGCTGTTAATGCACATTTTACTGGTATTGCCTCCCTGCTTTGTTTGTTCTGTAATATGTGTGATGGGAATTGTAATTAAATAATGTATTACCACGCAATGTAAACCTAATCTATGTACATTGTAGAATAATTCCACGAATACTTCGGTACATTCTGTCCAGCAAAGGGGCATTTACACTTGTACACCTCTCCTTAGAAGTGTGAATTCTCCTTAGAAGTGTGTTCTTTCTAATCTAAAGACTTGCTTATTCTGTGCTTAGGGTGCGTTAATGCTGTGGTGTATAATGACATTATTGACTGCTCACAGTAAATAAAAAATAAAAAAGGTTTAAAGAATACAGGTATGCAAATAAAAATCATATTTAATTTATTTCTGTGGCATGGCTGACTTTAAAGTGTTTCTCGTTTTCTTTGCTTTTTCAGACTCATCTCTCAGATTGACTTTTGGAAGGCAGCAATGTGATTTTCAAAATATACCCTCATCTCTTGAGGGGACAGCAGAATGCATTACAGTCCTTGTTCCACAGCATTTCCACAACAAAGATCCTGAATACATATTCTTTGCTGGTGTATTTCTGTTAGTGTTAATGTATCTTATGTAATTTAATAGTTGAAATAATCTAATGTAAAGTCATTTTTCTAACCAAATCTGGAGTACAAACCTAAATACAATGCTAAAACAATAGAAAACTGTCATAAATAGTTGCTCTCTAGGTGACATAATTAAACAAGAAAAGGATCTCTTGTGAAATGAAAACACACTCTTAATCCAGATGGATCAGTTATTTATGCAGCTACATCTCTAAAATGTTAATATAAAGGGGTATTAAGATATTGTAACAGGGTATTTGTCATTCCTGCCTTCATAAATCTATAAAACAGCTATCCAAAGAGAAAAAACACAGTAACAGCAGATCCATTTTAAATAAAGAAAATGCACTTTATCTCAATATCCCCTTAAAACAGAGATGCAGGAAAAAACTACAAATACAATTTAAAATGCACAAATACATTGATTTTCTCCTTGTACGAGAGGATCTCTTTTACTCTCCTAGTGGCTATTGCTTACTAGTAAAGGTAAGCATTGCTTACAGGAATCCAATATCATGGAAAGATTTTTCTTGGAAAAATCTCTCATATAATGTATACAAGACAACAGAGGAAGGAGCAACATCAGGGTGTCTTTGGTCTTGCTGACACTTTAATCTAACCCCCCCCCCCCGTGAATAAAGGGAAGGTAAAAAAATGGGATGAACATCTGCTTACTGCACAACTTTAAGGAACCTTAACGTTGAAAATTGCTTGCCTGGGCTGCTTAGATTGAGAGTAATATAAATCACCATGAGTATTTTCAAGACAATATGTAATTGACCATACGTAACGGGTTTTGTGTATGTTTTGTTCATTGCAAATCTTTATCTTCATGGTCTTATACCTTGTACATACCATTATGATCCTACAGTAGGTGTTGTTTAAAACCAGGAATTATCAATATCCAGAACATTCCAAATTGATTGTTAAATCCTGTCAGTTTCAGAAAAGTACATCATTAGGCCTCTTATCTTTGGTTCCTGACTTATGTTTCAAATAGCAGCACCACTGAACCTGAACTCATGACTGAAATCCTGTTATGTCAGAGCTGGCTTGTACAGCTTACATATAGGGTAGAGTCTTGTATGAAGAGTGCTGTGTAAGATTAAATTGTATTGTACAGCAATCCCGTTTGTGAGAACTTGCCAGGTAAATTACAGCTAAGTACATCAGTCTCTGTTAAAGAAGATTAAATATAGCTGAGCAGTTTCTTGAGTGTTCAGCTAAAATTGCAAAGTGATCTGGCTACAGGAATAACTGGTGAATTAGCTAAGAGATGCTTCAAAACACACTGTAAATTACTTATAAGCATGTTATTATTGTGTTAGAAGCAATACAATTTAAAAGCACATATTAATTTCTATGTACTGTGATACAGAGTGCATATACAGTAAGTAGATTTATACCTTCTGTATGTAGAAGGAAGGAAATGTGGTTCCTTTGAAGTAATCCACATTTTTAAAATCAAACCTTAAAAGGGCCCTACAAATAATTTTGGCCAAACTTAATTCTCAGAAACCTGCAGGAACAAGATTAGAAAAGCAGACGATCGATTGGGATAAATCCAATTTCTCACTGAGGTAGAACATTAAAAAGGAAATACCATGCATTCAGTGTTGTATGAGAAAAATCAAGGAAGCTTAAAGCAAAATACCTCATGGAAAACAAAAGGCTTTTGTTCTGACACTATGAGGTGATGCGGTTTTCAGGACTTTGTTTTTCTGGTCCAGCATTCATTTTCTCAGTTCAGCTACATCCCAAAAGTCATGGGCTGCTTTTTAGGATCGTGACTATACAGGGAAACACAATCAAGGCTTAACCAGACTCAGTTTTATTTTGTTAACACCAGTCTTTTTACAGGAGCTCAGTTTAGGTGTTGTGGAGAGTACTTTAGTGGTGTAATACTATCAGTAATGTATAATTTTATGCATGTTGTCATTTTCAATTATTTTGCAGGAAGATTCTAAGAACTCCAAAATATTTCCAGTAGATGGTGCTAACTATATTAATCAGAGAGAATGTATTCAACAGTCTCCATTCGTCATTCTCAAGCACCTAATTGGCTAATTTGTACTGTAGGTGCAGCCTGTGAGGCAAACAGGAAGATGTACGGTATTAGTTAAGATTATGAAACATAAAATGATAAACTTTAAATATGCCGTATCATAAAAATAATTTATCAGAGAGAAAAATGAGTCAAATTATTGGTAGTAAAATTCTGGTACAACCAGGAACATGCCATCATTTTAACAATTCATTTGAGAAAAGAGATGAATGCAGCACACAGCACCTTCCAGCTGCGGTGAAACCCTCTTTGTCAAAGGGCCAGCCTCCCACTGCAGACTGCAGCTCTATTACAGCAGCTTCGGAGAATGACGTGACCACAACTGCCTCATCTCACCACAAGACCCGTAATGTACTGTATAAGTCTCATATGTGATGATGGCAAACTGTTTTGCGCAGTTAGTTAACTTTGAAGAATTATAATTCTTCTAATAAACATGTGCACTACAAAAAAAAAAATATATCAGATTGTTCTGTGAAACACATTTTTTGGAGGAGCTTTACCCTAATTAATAGCAACATTCCCATTCAATCTGTGTTTCATACACGTTGTCCCAATTAAGTGACTAGATTGCTGATATTTTAGATAATTAGATATTTTGTTGATTTCTTCTTGTCAATGCAATGCTGAAAAACCTTGCACACAAAAAGAAATGCAAAATAATATTACTCCAACTTTGGCACAACAAGCAGAGAAGACAAAGGAATATGTTGCTTACCTGTCATTTATATTCTGGCTTCCACTGTGTTGGTCTCCAGATATTTGATCCCTGTAGGAAGACAACATGTAATTTAGATGGAAACACCTCAAATGCATTAAAAAGCAAACACAAATTGAAATTTTACAACAATTTTCTTAAAGAACAAAATATAAAATACATAATGTTAGCATGCAAATTAACCTGAAAGACTTTCACAAAGCAAAATGAGGTTAAAATCCTGTTACTATCAAAAAAGTAAACCAATCAGGGGAGTAAAAGAAATCACCATCATGAGTAATATGAGTTACACTTATAGGATGGACCCTTTTGATTGCCCTAAGCCATTTCTTGCAATCATTTTTTTTCTGGAGAAACTTAGGTTAGGCATCTGAAGTTTAGAAAGACAGTCATTAACATTAGTTTTAGTTTGGTTTATAGATTGCAGGGTTATATTTTTGCATAATATTGAAGTCACTAGTTAATATTAATTAGCGGTTTTAATAAGCCTGTACACCTATTTGCTTTGGTTAGGTTTGGAAGGTTTACTTTTTTAACTATTAGTAACTTTATCATTTATAATTGGTGTTGCATACGCAAAATTATAGTTATTATTAATGTTACCTGATTAACGTTTATTCATCCTTTGAGTCCTGCGATATTTTTCCTTAATAAGCATCAGCAATCAGGTCTGATAGAAAAGAAAATTCAGCTTTCTACACTGCCTTCAATGGTGGTGATATTTAGCACTGAAAATTACAAATACATTTCCTGAGGTGGAATAACAGCAAGAATAAGAAACAGCTGGGCAGTGACTCTTGATGATTTGCTGGTAAAGACACTGTACTCTAAATAATGCATTCCACTCCGTCCACTGAGTGAAGACAGAAATGTGACTCTATGCAATGTTCACATGTTTGATGGGATATTGAATGTGCTGGGCAACTCAAAGGTTGAAGGCATTTAGACAGTCTAATAGTGGTAAGTGGCAGTCTTACCTCATTAATCTCCATTACATTCTCACGAGAGACGTGCTAATGCAAACAAGTCAATCAGAGTTTGTGTTTAGTAAGATCAAGCTTAGAGGATAGTTTAAAATCCATTTATTGTTCTAAACAGTTTCTTCCATTAACATGTTGCACATTTATATGACTAATCAAGATTCAAGGAACAGTTTAGCTCGTTAACTTTTAAATTATTTAACAATCATGGCGTATTAATACAGCTTTTCTATCTTTACACAAATGGTCTTAAGACAAAATTTCTAAAAATCATATTTTTGTGGTTGTTGAAGGTTTTTATGTATCAAAACATTTTAGCCATTTCCTGAAGGAAAAATAAAGCAGGCAATTTAATGCTAGAAACAAGTAATTCCAAAATTTAAATTTTTACAAAAAGATTTCAGCTTTATTGACAAATTATGGCAAAACATATTCGACATTTTATGGTCACCTATTTAGAGAAGCTTACACATGGTGCTTTATGTCCTCTTTTTATTCTTTTTTTAAACAAATACAGGTTAAACACCGAACAGAGCACTTAAAGTTAGCTACATACATAGCTGATTGCTTTCAACTCCAATAAAAAAGCATTTTTAAATTAAATTTACAAACTCAATATTTAAACATCATAAAACTAACAAATATTAAAGGAAACAGATTATCTACAACTTGGTTATCATCATTTTCAAAGGTTGCAGTTTGGTCTTGCCTCTTGAATGGGAAACCAGGTTTGCTAGTGAGCATCTGGAGGCATCAGATATGTAGCAACTTCATGCTTTTTTTCCGATTGAAGTACACACAACGATGGACAACCAAGAGAACAGCATTCCAGTGCATGGTTTTTTGACAAAACTTGTTTGCTTTTTTTTCACTTGTTTAAGTCCGGGTTATAAAATTGCAACGCTGACTTTGTTTCAGAGTTTTAGGTAATGCAAGATGTGCGCAAGGCGCCCAAGAGCAGAAATCCCAAGGGTAGAAAAGAAAGGGACTATTACTTGTCTTGCTTTTTGTGGGGACCACAGGGTACTAATGTAGTCTTTGAGTGAAGGCCATGGGCGTTGATCACCTTCAATATCTACCATAGGGGTGCTCTCTGTAGCCACCTCGCGATAACCTTGCTGGAGGGGCTTTGAGGCTAGGGCGGGCTGCAGTCCAGTCTTCTTCAGCTATAATTAAGACAAAATACAGGAAAAAATGAAGAATAGCTCATACAGTTTTACTCTAAGAAAATGGCTGCACCTGCAGGGAGAGACATTGGGTTATGACTGTACCAAATATTTATGATATTTTGCTTTGTTGCAGAAGCCTGCAGGAGACCTGCAGCAAGGAAGACTGTTGAGTACATATTTGTATTTTTGCGGTTGTTGTCAGAAAATAATTAAAACAAATTCAGCGTAGATACTTGGTTCCAAAACAAATGCACAATGTCTCTGTTGACAATAGATGAGCCCAAGCAATAATTTTATGTCAACATTGACTGGAACTATTATAGAACTGATTCCTAAAAACAGAACCCATGCTCATAGGCGTACCTCATAAGATACAGCTGCAAATTACAACTGGATGGTGGGCACGTGCTCTGTCCAGAGCTGCAGATGATTAAAAATGAGTATCTGTATGCTCATTCATATTTTTAATGCACACCTTGCCTGTAATGGAAGCGTTCTTTCAGGACACTATGCAGATGACACAATCCAGGGTAGAGAGAGGAAAACACGGGGAAAAAAGCATGCAGGAGTCGGGATTGAAACAGGGGGCGTGTCCAAGGTGCGCTGGTGTTCGGGGGAGGTGTGGTCCAAGGGGGAATCCGAGACAAGGCAAAAGTCCAAAGCCGGGCAGTCCATCCAAGACAAATGGGATTAAAAACAGGAACTGGGTCAGGACCGGCACGGGAACAGGAACTAAAAACTTGACGGGACCAGGCGCTTCCAGGTTCGGATTCGCCTTGTACAGGAACCAATGCAGATCCCGGAACAGAGTAGGCGTCTGGCTTTTAAAGGGGGCTGGAACAGGGAGCAGGTGCGGGAGATTAGTAAAAAACAAGGAAGGGCTGGAGCGTCCTTAAGGGGTCCCACAGCTGCCACAGCTCTATAGCCATGAACAAGCACAACAAGTCACAGAACATTTCCCACTGCCGTTGTAAAATATGTGATGTTACAGTTCTTTCATTTAAGATGTCATTTAATGCCAGGCCCTACTGTAGTTTGACAGACCACTGGAACACAGAGCATATGTATATTACTTTTGCATAGCACTGTTTTCCTCCTCCTCTTCTTCTCCCACCACTGTCAGGGAACAGTCAGATAGCATTTCCACCTCTTCCTCAGTTGCTTGGAACTTCAGGATCCTTCATCATTAGGACTCTTTCCTGAGTCAGGAATACCTTCCCAACTCCAAGTTGAGGCAGAGGCAGGAACTGCTAGTCTTCTTCATAATCATCCTTGCACCTCATTTTCCTGTGCTTTAGGCCAGGAATGTAGCACACTCTCCTCTGGTGTCTCCATCATATCCATTTCAAGCAAACAAGGTGTTTGTGTTTGCACAACAAATATTGCACATGCGGATACACTGTTGATTTTGGTACAGATCCCTGACTGCACTGTGTTATCTGCATTGGCCAATACACTTTTATGGGTATTTGGTGAAACATAATGCAATGGTTCTGTGGCACTCAGACAGCACTACACTTGTCCTTGCAGCATTCTGGTCCACTGCAGAGCATTAGACTTTGGATAGGTTGTGTAAATATCCTGATTTATTTTTATTTTTGTTTCATCCAAGGTGCACCATTTAAAATTCCTATGTAGCAAACATTTAAAAAATTAAGGATTAATTAATAATTAATAAAATAATTAATCAAACATTATTAAGCATTAAGTTAACTTACTTTACAACAAAAATGCACAGCAGCAAAAGCACGACAGAGAAAACAGCATATTTAAAAAAAAAATTCCAAAATATGGAATGTGCTGAAAAACTTTGTCTTCTGTAAGTTTGCAGAACAAAATGCCTTCAGACTAAACTAGCTCTGCAGGGATAGAAATCCATAGTTTCAAAGCCATCCTTTAGTTTAATTATATTATTTATTTTTGAATGCATATCATAACAGGTAACACATGACAGTAAAGGTACAATGCTCTCAGTATAATAACAGATCTGAAATTTTAGGTAACATCCATAGTAAATACATTTCCAAAACATCAGACCTTTCTCCTGTTCAAAGTTAGTTGCCTCTGGTGTATCTTGTATCATGAAAGCCAAGGTACTGCACTACCAGTAATACAGCTTTATTTCTAGGTCATTCAATTAAAGATATGTCAACCACACAATGACCTAATTCATATATTTTCTAATGTACAAGAGTTATTCTCTATACGTGTATTATGAAATAGTAATAGAACTAACTCATACAGTGTTTCTTGTGCAACAAGTCATCAAACTATGGATAAAACAAATGCAACTCTCCTCTCACCCTGCTGGGATTCAAAGCACACATACTGTAGCACCACTCCACAGACAGCTCCACCACTCCAAAAGCCCAGGGCCTGTGCCAGGCTGAGCTCCACCATGCAGGTTTCAGAGGGGAGATGATGTGACTGCTGTAACTCCCTCAGCAGACTGAGCCCTGTCACATGCGCACACTCACTGTGACAAGAAGAGCACCTTCCATGATAACATTCAGGTCTTACACTGGTGAACTAACGAGGTGTGTGATGCTGGACGAATTTGGGTCAAACACCATACAGGCGGCTGCAATTCTGTGGATCGACTGTGGACTTCATAGTCAGCAGAAAGCCACAACAGAAACTGTCCAGATAGGTAAGACCTTGTAGACATGGTGATCTCTGATAACTTACAGGAACCCAGAGGTTTTATGGTACAGTATGTAATGTTTCTTTAATTTCACAGCACACCACTCGCATAAACGTATTACTTTCATAACAGGTTTACGCACAATGCACATCTTGGAGATGAAAATCTAAAAGCAAAAGCCATAATGCACTTCTAAATAAACATGGCAACTCTTAACCAAGCTATGTTTTTACTACAAGATCAGACTAAAGACAACCTTGTAAAAATACTTAGCTCAATTATGAAACATTATCCTCAAGAACGGGTCAAAACCTTTTGCTTGACATCTCAAAAAGGCAAGGCACTGATGGGCAGCCTCTGAACTCTGTCAGTCTCTCTGTGCATCGCTACTCTGTCAAGTCGTGGGGGGAGACCCAAAGCCAGGGTGCTAGGTTCAAGCCACAAAGCTAACCTTAAGCTTTCCTTCCAGCACATCTCAACAAAGAGCTCTACACCCTGGGGATGGTATATCGATATGCAATTGTGTCACCCATCAGAAAGCACATTTAGGTTTCTTTGTGATAACCTCGCAAAGTGTTTCACTGCGATGTCCGATAATAACTGTATATTGACTGAAGGCTCCAACCTTCTTACAATGCATTAACTGACAAAAGATACAAGTAAATAGACCATAAAACTGTATTTATCTATGGCATCTATTTTAGAAAGATTTGAATGTATAAGCTTTTGTGTAAAGCTGAGTATGTAAATGGTTTAACGAATTTCAGCTCAACATCTTTGCCTTTGAAAAGAACAGTGTGTGGCTGTCCTGTGGTGCTTCGATCTGCTGCACATGACACTGGCCTTGCATCTGCAGTGTTGTCACATCAATAGAGCTGACACCTTGCGCGGAGAAACACTCGGGTACTAATCAGACTGCCTGCTGTCCCCATGGAGATCGATTTTAGACTGATGATTAATTGCTGGAGGAATTTTGTTCAAAATAGATCTGTACAGGGTTCTGGCCCCCAGAACCTGAAAGCTAAATCTCAAGCCTGAATCAAACAAAATCAATTTTGTCTGAAATCCAGAGGAAAAAGTAATGTAGGAACATTTTTGTTGATGTCAGTAACAGATTTCTTCCTTAGCTTAAGAATACAAGAAAGGAAAACCTGGACGCTAATCCTTACCGTAACTATCGTAGGCGTCGTCACCTGTTCCATGGCCATATTCATAATATTCAGGAATGCTTAAAGGAAAAGAGAGCGAAATCAACCGCACAGTCACCACAGAGGCAGTGTGCAACACAGAGAGGGTGCAAACAGGAAGGACAAACTGGTCTGCTGCATTCTCAACGCCAACAGTTTTACAGTAAATTTAACCAGTTACCTCGCTGCCTTTAACATGCCAAAATGCTACTGGAGGTGAAAAGCATAATGTTTGTGAATAGAAAAAAAAAAGGTTGATTTTTTTTAGTGGTTTAGATGATAAACAGAAATACAATTAATTACAAAATATAGCCCTGACTATAATTTTCCTTCTTCGGAGCTCATGTGTCGACCATATAATGGGGCAAGCATAAATCATGAGTGAAAGATAAGGGCCTGAATTACACTCCTCCTGAAATATGGAAAGAAGCATGGATCAAATATTTAGTTGCCAAGTCATTTTCAAATGATATTCTAATGAAATGTAAGAATAGGTGCATTTTGGCAGTAGGTCAAAAGCAGACACAACAGTATTTTTTGAGTGACAGTGACAGTTTGGGGTTGACATTTTAAATAAGAGCAGCGCAGCTTTGATGCTTGAGGACTTCAGAGCCTTGCAGTTTTGACTTCCAGCGTCTCTGAAGAACCCTGTGTACTTGAAGACCTGGAAAGAGCACATTCAAATTGCTCCTACCAAGGTCACTTCTTGAGTGTCATCAGTCTCAGAAAAAGCTTTTTAAAACCCAGCTCCATCCCCACGAAACAATCCTGAACCCTTCAGTGTTGTTGTGAGGGCAGGGGCAAGAGCAATTTGAATATTCTCACCTTGCCTTGGGCAGGTTTATTTTTCTTAATCATTAGAAATTGAGCTCCAAACATTTTATGCAAACAAAAAGGGCCACAGAATATTTATATTATGAAAAACAGGGGATAGTGTTCAAATTTAACAATATAACCTCTTTAGTTTAGTATCATAAAAGCCCTCTAGTTCATAGAATGTTAAATAACTTATAAGATACTGCTCCAGGAATGGAGTTCCCTGGACAGGCACTATTATAATCAAAAACGTTCTTGTTTTTAATCGTAATTCTCATGGGTGACCTGAAACATATTATTTAGCACGTGTGGTATTGTGCAGGAGATTTGACACAGGATGACCTGACAAACAACTAGTTAATTGGTGCCAGAAGGAAAACATTGTTGAAAGAATAACCACTGTTGCACACTGTGAAAGGCAAAGCTGAAGATGGACAACAGAGCCACCCCTAAAAGACAAGCCTTATATTTCCAGCTTGGGGATACACCACAGCCATGTTATGCGTGTAAAAATGTGCATTCATCAAGCAGTGTAGCACCTTCTAAACTCTCATACTCTTGTGCTGGTTATAATTTGCAGTATGTGCATTTTGTTCCTTAAAGTAGGTACATGAACATATGTTGATATATGAATAAAAACTAAATTCATACTGCAGCCTCTAAACAGTCTCTTAATTTTCACCTGATGACACACACAGGATGTGAGCATCGTGACTGCATTCAAATTGGACAAGGCAAGGCAACCAATAAAAAAAATAAAATAAAATCTCTCCTACGTATTCAGGCATGTTCTTTTGTGCTATTGCTCACCTTCCTTCACATAACTGGAAGATGTTTAATTCTACCTTAAGAATAGCTAACGGAATAGCTAAACTGACAGAGAAAAAGGAGTGTATTGCATGGTCATAAACTGCTTTATTTTGAGTGCTTGTTCATTACAGCATTAGTACTTTCTCAGTGATTTCTAAACACTGATAAATTATAATTTCTCAGTGTTTATAAATTTATTAGGTTTTTGGATTTATGCCAGATTCTTTTAAGTTTTTCCCCAAGGTTTGCAAATCTCAAGAAATGCAGACATCTTCATTTAAGTAGCAAATGTCTGGAGATATTTAAATTTCTGCGCAGGATTTTTTTATTTTTAGGAGCTCTCTGCGGAACGGTGTCAGGTTCTGTGGTGATGCCCACTTTTCAAATTTTATTGTAGCTTGTGCAGCTTTTCACTTTACCTAGAAGCTCTCCAAAATTCAAAGAATTTTCAGTGAAAACAACTGCTGCATGAAATGGATTCTTTTGAGTGAATGTACAGTAAAAAAAAACGCTTGAACTACAAGCAACTGAGCCACTTGTTACCAAACAGCCAAGGTTTCTGCTGAAGTCATTTAGGGAAAATTGTAAACACCACAATCTCTTCAGCCTTTCATGTGTGCTGCTGTAATCTAAAACAGTATCTAAAACATCTAAAACAGTATATCAATGGTACAAAAATACACTTTTTTGTCTTTTTCCTAGTCAAATACAGGGCTTCAGAAATCTGGAAATGAAATGACTCAAGAATGTAACCATACAGATTTTATGTTTTTGTAGATAAATATGATTTAAGTGGGTACAAAATTGAAGCAACTACTGTGCACAGTATTTCCAAACGAAATGTCATTACACTTGTCAATAAAGCATACTCAAGAGAGTGTTTAAGAGATACAGTGATATACAGCTCACAGTGTGAAAAAGAGTGGGACAATACCCCTTCCGTAAAGGTTCCTGATACCTATATTCAATTCAATTTTTAATTTATTTTTATATAGTGCCTTTCACAACAAGGTTGTCCCAAGGCACTATATGAAAAATTTTGTGACTGAAACAAAATAATTTATTAATTTCTTGCATTTGTGTAGCATTTTATATCTCAGATCAATTTACAATAAGGGTGGAACCCACTACATCCACCACTGAAGTGCAGGACGGACCGGGCTGATACATGGCACCATTCTGCACCAGCAGCCCCACTACACAGCATCAGGTAGAGCAGAGACTAGCTTCTGCAGGATTCCATCGGTTTGGACATTCTGGTCTAAATGGAGTAGTGCCACCTACAGGTCCAAAACACAACTTTTATAGCAGCCTGGTTTTCCCATTAAGGGCCTTCCATTAAAGTACTGACCAGGTCCAGCTTTGCTTAGCTTGTGAGATCTCCTGAAATTAGCCTACAAGGTGGTAACACTGCTGTCAAAACAAGTGGCTCAAATCAAACAGCACTGTGAGAGCTGGTCTCTGATGACCAGTGTGACCATCTCTGTGCAGAATGACCTCTGGGTCTTTAAGCAACTGTTCACAACAGCTTTGGTAATGTCAGCTGAACAATCTGTGCCTTTCGTCTTCCAGTGCCCTGAGCATTTTCGCTTGTATTTATGTGGTATTTAAATGGAAGTTATTAGCTGAAGTTCGGGAGGGATAACAGTGATAAGTCCATCTCACACAGCTGTACCTGATCACCAACATTACGAAATGCTTAATTACTGTGCTGCCCATTAATGTGGGTACTAATGTTCTTACTTTGAAATTTTAATCAATTTCTTACTTGAGGCATGGAGAGCTGATTCCTTAAACCTGCAAGCATGACTATTATTCCTAGTTCCTAAGATATTAGATTTTTTTCACTTCATGAATCAAAGGTCCATTTTCTGAATCGACAGAAGGTGGACCCTGTCTATTTCCTTCTCAATCCTCTCTGTTGACAGACCGCAGAGATTTCTACAGTGATAGGTTTGGGATGACTCTGTAAAGCACCTAAATCCTGAATGAGGTTCTGTAATGCAATCACTATTTTTCCTGTGCACCTGGTGCCACAACTAAGGAGTAAGAGCTGAGGCTGAGAAGTTTTAGCATCCCATTATAGAGGACAAGCAGATTTTATATCAGCGTGGAGGGATCAAGAGTTACTTCACACGCATTAGTACAGTACAGTGAGAGTAAGTGAAACAAGACAATTAGAAAGGGGTGCAGCAACCTTTTGTACTGATAGTTTTTTAATCATGGTTTCCTTTCCATTTTTATATAATTTATATAATTTGATAATAAGATTTAAAGCAGATAATATGCATTTAAAAATGACAGAAATAGAACTGTATTTTCATTAAGTTTTTAATATTAATTTTGGTAATCCCAACAAGGCTTATACACTGATCGATGACTGTGTTATAAATGAGCCTGAGTTTAATAACATATTGAAACAAGAAATCTGCTTTCCCTAATTTGTCTGAAATCACTATTTACACCCAGTTGCACACAGAGGGATAGTTGAGTTGGAAACAGAATATTACCAGACCCACAAAAATCCTTATCCCTGATCAATTTCAGTTCGGTTTTCACTTCAAATGCAAAGTTCATTGAAACTGCCTAGAGTCTTACCCAGTAAAGGCTCACCCCTGAGAGCTCTGTACAGGGTGAGGGAGCTCTGCTATAGCTGACTGTAACTGAAGAAGCGAAGGTGCGCTATTGGCCAAACATTGCTATGAGTTGGCTCTCAGAGACACTGCGCCCTCTGTGACCTCCTGGGTAAACAGCATTATTGTTTACATGGTGTTAACAATACTTTTTCAAGTTGAGAAAAATAAAATATATTGTTGTTGAACAACATACAGTAGCAAAAAAGGGTAGATTATCTGACATTATCTGTATAAAAGTTTCAATGTAGGTTAATTATGTTTTCCAATGTCCAGGTAACTTCTTAATTATCTTATTGACAAGCACATGCATGTGGTGAACAGCTTTTATGAGCATCTCGAAAGATTACTGCGAAAATTTGTAAAGTCACGTCAGAAAAGGCTGGCAAAAGTGACATTACCTTTGTGTCTGGCTGCTGTAGCTATCATCATACACATCGTAGGTCTGATTATCGTACTCTCCATCGTATCCATCATCATACCCCTAGGAGAAAGAAAAAGACTGCATTGTAAACTATTGTATCACGTACATAATGATGATAAAATGACCATAAGAAAAGGAGTGACACTGGAATAAGACTTTCTAAAATCTATTGCATCCTACAATTTTAAAAGAGCCTAATTATTTTTTGCTCCAGCATTAGAAAATCAATTATTAATTCCACCGGTCCACAGTCCTCTCATTAATAAAATCTCTACACACAGTAAGAGTGACAGCACCAATGCATGTTTCACTCCAAATATTGACAGATGTTTACAAAGACAATTGTTTTTACAAAAGTCAATAAAGGAGCTTTGCTACAAAACAGCCTCATTTAACATGCCAGCAATACGGTCCTGAGCTGCCCGTGACAGCTCAAACCACACTGACCGAGAGCTCAAATGACAGGATGTTTCTGGTTCCTGGCTGTTTAACCTCTGACTGTTGGGTTCGCCCCCGAGTCCACTACCTATAGTACATCACTGCTACAGCTTTACTGCGTACTCCAGTACACAGGGCACCAGCGTCCGAATGAAACTGATTTGTCATTTCATAAGAGACGTGAAGAAAACACTGTCATATACGGTACAGCAATATAAAAATAAAAGGAGATTCTTTAGCACCCTGGAGCAATCATATATGCAATGTAAATTACTGGAATAAATGTCTATTTTAGAGTTCGTTTATAATTCAGATATAAATTTGTCAAATATTTTATATATTACAAAATCATAATGTGTGGTATATGGTAGTTAGTGTTTGATTGTTTATATGGTTATTTGGTAACCACAGGAATAGAGGACATTTGTCCTTTAATCCATTACAAACAGAACTGGAACAACTAGTACCATAACACCATTTCAGTCAAATTGTCCATTTTATGAAACTACAAATTCTGCAAATAAAGAAACAAAATTAATTAACTAGTTCCTAAATTGATTCCTGGTAAATATACAACCATTTACAAGTAAGTTAGATGTACCATTATATTCTGATAGAATTGTTAGAAGAAACAGAATATATGCGCTCCATTGAAAAAGGGTAAGCTTTTATTATCATGTGCAAACCCTTGCATTCAATAAAAATTTACATTTCAAGTCTTTTATGCTACTGATTTTCAGCAAAAGCTATATGATCAAGAGACGTCTGAAATCAAACACTATTGTCATTTGAACAATCCTTTCACTAAGAGGACTGTGATGGCACTAGACCGCTCCACTTTGTGGTTTCGTAGAAAATGACTGCGCCCTTCTTTTCTGATGTTGATTTGAAAAAATAGAAAATAAGATCTAAATCGATTTAATACTACTATAGAAGAATGCAGCCTTCAGCTTGTTCATGCACGGTTCAGGATGGGCACAGCCAGTGGTTTGGCGCACTGGAGAGAGCTAAGCCCGGGTTCCATTACAGCGGATGCACTTCTGTAAGGAGGCAGAACATGGGCATATGGTTTGGAAGATAATACATTTTAATTGTGCACACAAAGACCCGCCTGCCAGCTCTTCCTCTTCTCCCCACTGCACCACGGCTCCAGGCCCACTTCCTCCAGATTGCTGCACACTTCTGATTCAAAACACTATTTCTAACTGACTGATGTCTCAAGCATTTTTGGTCACTCTCAAGCACATTTTCTTTGTACAACATTTACATTGTTTTCCAATTTGTACTAGCTTTGTTTTCATGTTACTCATGCTTACTCTGTTGCACCTGCATGATTATCTTTTGCACTTGCACATAATTACACATATACTTAAAGACTCTCTGGGTAAGGACATGTGCCGAAAGAGTACGAGTGAGAGATTAAGAGAGTGTGAGAGAAAATCTAATCCCTAATAGTTTCAAAATTGATAAATGGTGCAAAACTATTACTTGTGAATGAAAAAAATCAATATGGAAACAGATATTTTAATTTATTGCTGCTAGGAAAAATGATTAAAGTGACTGCTTCACCTCTGATTTCTTTACACCAAAGGAAAATGAAGATTTCTTTTCCTGAAGGAAGGCCACATTATTTATTTTTGATTTGCCTTGGCGCAATTCAGGAGGTGGAACAACAGCCCCTCTCTTATCAATATCAATTAACTTTCCCCTACACTGAAAACAAACTGAAAATTAGCTGTGCGTTTGGTCTCCTTACCACTAATGATAGATCAGCACTTTCATCTGGGACTGGATCATTTTTTTCACTAAGATATGCAGGTATGGTCCCATCTCAGCATGTGTAGGTGTTTCCAAGTTCCAGCTTCAGCCTCCAGACTCAGTCCTTATTTTCTCCGATACCGCCATATCGTCTCTGTTATGTTTGTTATTACTGCCTTAACACCACAGTGTTTTTTACTGCTTCTTTAAATCTCTTCTGAGAATTACACATCCGTTAGAGATGACACAGAAGAGTAACAAAAACGTCCAGCTTCTATGACAACAAAGTTCTAGCCACATCACTAAGGCTACTTCTTGTCTCTGATGAAAATACATTGTCAGGGCTTTTTGCTTAGATAGAGGGAAAAGGGTGTTTGTTAAATTATTACCTGTCCAAGGTTGGACAGCAGCACAATCTGTGACAATATTTTAAAACCGACTGACCTGATATTGCTGACCAACGTAAGACAGTGTGATTTGCAAAGTACAATATATCACATTCTGATGAATCAATACATCTGCCGTTGTTAAGAGATCTTATTTAATGTGCTAAATAAAAACACAGTTATAATCAGCTGATCTTATGAGGACTTGTCCCCTGGCCTTTATGCTACTAATCTTGGTAACAAAGTGCATAGCACTAACATCCCTAATGATGCTGTGTTTCGAAGAGAGAAAAGAAAAAAGAGAGCAAAGTGATTTGGGGTTTTATTACATTAATTGCCTGTGAATAGTCAGCCAGTTGTACTTCAGACTCAGGTGGTTAATAATATCAGTGGTATACCCTTGAGCTACAGTCAACACAGCAGATGCAGAGTGTCCAAAAGTATTCAGTTTGTGTACTTTACAACACAGGCTTTGGAATAATGTCTTAACAAACAGCCACAGTCTGCTCCCAAAACATTCAGTTTCTGTGTGACACTGAATTGGATGAAGTGGTTAGAAGGATATACGGAGATAACATCTGTTTTCAAAGAAATCAACATTGATTTCTGTCAGAAAATGTTTATACAGTAGTTCAATTTATGTTATATGTGGTATATACTTGCCTTGGGAAAGGGCAGCATTCCCACGGGCACTTGCATTCTATCTGGACCAATCAGAGCCCAGTCAGGCAGCCTCTCTGCTCGTCCGGCTCACTTTCAATACGACAGCCAATCGGCCGATCAAGCCTCCAACTGAGCACTTTATTTAAGCCCCAAAATACCCCTGGATCAGTGCTCTGACATTGAACTACCTTCTGTCTCCTTTGGAAATTCTGTCCTTGTGTAATGCAGAATATTAGAAATGCTGTTTTACCACGGTTTCCTGACCTGGACCTGCAGCACTGGTCAAATGGTCTGGTCCAGCCTCAACAGCCTCCCTCTCAGCTGTTTTCTACTAGACTCTCCCAGTCACCCTCAACAAGCTTGGCTCTCCCTGCCAGCTCTCCTGCCAGTGCACCGCCTCCTAGCGGCTTCAGTCCTGTCTACATCCGCTCCTCCTGAAGACTCATGGAGAAGCAGCAACCTGCATATAGATCTCAACCTGGCATCCATCCCCGGCAGTTTGAAGCAGCCAGCAGTGACATAACAGAAAGAAGTTAAATTTAGAAAAGGCTGAGAAAAATCAATGCCTAAAATGTGTTGATTGCATAAGTATCCCTCCCCCCTTTTGTAAGAGCGAAACTGAATTTGTTCACATTCACAAAATTACTTGATAAGGCAAACAATTATTTGAATGGCTTCTGTTGGTCTGCAATAATAAAGGTTCACATGATTTCAGAATAAATAAACTTGATTCAACCATTAAGATGAGCATTCGAAGCAACTGGGAGATAAAGAAAGATTGCACATATTAGGAGAAGAGCATAAAATCTCTCTCTTCCAGTACAGTGAAGTCTACTATTAAGCAGTGGAAGGTGTATTGTAACACCCAGACTGCCTAGATCAGGCTATCCCTGCAAACCAAGCATAGGCCAGGCAAGGAGGGAACTGGCTAGAGACGACACAATGAGGCCAATGACAACTTCGAAAACTTCCAGTAGCTGAGGTGGGTGTCCATGAATCAAAACAGGATATTTTTGACTAATTACCGACAAAGCTGTCCAATATGGCAGAATGGAAGGAAATGAAGTCCCGTCTCAAATCCTGTATGGAGTCTGTAAAAGGATTTTAAATGATACCGCAAATGTGCAAAAGGTTTTGTGGTCATATGAGACAAAACTGGAATCGTTGGTATAAATATTATGTTATGGGACTGCATCTCACCAGAAGGGACTAGAAAACCTGTCAGAATTGAGAGGAAAATAGATGGCGCAAAGTAGAGATAAAGCTCAGAGGAAAACCTCCTTCAAACTGCTAAAGACCTTTAACTTGAGCAAAACTTCACCTTTCAGCAAGAGAATGACCCAAAGCACAGGCTTGTGTGGCTTTACAAGACACGTCCAGTGAATGTCCTTGAGTGGTCACCTCAATCTCCCAGAGAAAATATGTGACTTGAAAATTGCAGTCTATAAACAAACCTCAAGCCTCAGCCATCCTGACAGAATGTGAACAAGCGTGCACAGAACAACGAGAACATTGCTCAATTGCTCAACTGCACTGTGCAAAGTTGGTATAGACTCACGCAACACTTCTACTGAAGTATTCTCCAGAGCGGGGGGGGTTGATTAACAATGTTCACTAAAAAATGTGTATAAAGTATTCATAATTCAACAAATGGGAATCGTGGCAAGACACTTTGTGACCAAATATAAACTCAGCTTAAACCAAGAATTAGATCATTATTTTAAGTTGTTAAACCTCTGTGTGTTTTACTTCTATAGACTATTAGTACAAAGTATCTTTGCCAACACAGATAGTTGTGCTGCTTTAATTTTTCGC